ACGAAGGCGTGGAACGAGAGCTGCAGCAGTGCCCTACCCATGCAGCCACACGTGCTGGCCCATGTGGACCCTAAGTCGACCACGACAACGAGCAGCAGCGGGGAAATCCAGGCTTGGGATGCTCATGCTCTTCCCAGGGGCACCACTGATTCATAGCAAAGGCTAAGGTGGGCGCCCTGGCTGCTGCCGTTAGCGACAAACGGACAAAAGATAGTGTGGGTACTCAGTGGGTCAGACGCCACTGCAGAGACTGTAAAACAAGGTGGAGTCTTCGCCCTTAAGAAACAAAGGGCTACGCTGATGACCCTTCTTCTAGCTCTCCTTCTCTCATACAAATTCATTTATTAATAATTAACACGTTAATTAGATAATTCCTTTCTATTTATTAAAGCCAAGTCCCTACAGGCCTCTCCGTACGTAGGCACTTTGTAAGGGCAGTTATGATATGTGCTTGTTTGAGGTAGAAAAGTACCATTTCATAAAATGCACTGTAATTAAACATTTTTGTAGTTAGACTAGCTTCATCCCATTTGTATAGTTAATAATTCAGACTTCAGAGGATTAATATGCATTTCTATGACGTCCCCCTTCTCCGCTTCACAGGGAAATGTTCCCCCTCCTCTGTTTGGTAGTTTGGATGTATGGCCACGCCTCTGTTCTAGAATACTCCTTCAGCCTTGCAGGCAACTAGGTTTTCTTTTGGCTTGTGGTGTCTTCAGTGGCTTCAGCACAGCCCAGTATGAGGCCAGCCTCCCTGGGTTGGCTGCCGGCTCCACCACGTACTAGCAGTGTGACATCAACCTCCATGGCACGGGCTTCTCACTTGCAACATGGAGATAACCTCATGAGCTTCCCGTTAATTAAGAGAACGGCCCGAGTGTCTGGATAGTGCCTCCCAGGGAGACAGGTACCTGCCCTGTGCCTCAGGTTCTTCACCTGTCAGTGGAGGCATGAGGTGCCTATCACAAAGCATGTTGTGAGGATGAAAGCAATCAACACATGAAAAGCACTTGGAACAAAACTTAGGACACATGAACACGTTAAATAAAAGTCAGACTATTATTCCGAATAAATTTTGGATGCTGCTCCTGACGACAGAATGGATAGCAATAAGCAGTTGTAAACCTTCCCCTGAGATCTCTAAGAAACAGAGGAATTTATCAGGATTAGAAGAGAAATGGAAGGAAGAGACCAATGACCTCTGGGGGTCAGTACGCTTATGAATCTTTCCAGAGACGTTTAAACTTTCAACAGAGAGGTGAGTTGAGGATTTTAGTAACAGAGTGAGTAGGTCAATCAAGAGGTGAAAAAAAATAATCTTTCATTTGGGCCCCTGTTCAAAAGATCAACGAAGAGAAAGATGCAAAGGGAAGGATGCTCCCTGGACTGAACGATACTGGTTGGAAGTTAACTTCCTGTCTGCGGTGCTGGCTGGGGTAAGGGGAAAGCCAGCAGGAAAAGCGGGACTGCTGGGACCTAGAAACAGAGTGCCAGGTTGCTGGCTGGAAGCAGCAGTGAGAGCCGAGACAGGCCAGAAGCCCGCACATCACAGAGCATTGTGTGGTGGGAGATGATGGTAGTGGAGGCAAGCCGCAGGAGAGAGAGCAGACACGCAGGTGCAAGGAAGGGGGAAGGTCTCCACGTGTCAAACATTAGGAAATGGCGAGTAGGAAAGACATCAGCTTTGTTCAAATGGTTTCTAATGTCAACCTTAACTTGGTTACTTATGCCTTAACACACACACAATCCCAAAACAAAGAGCCCTCTTGAACAGAACCAAAATGCAGGCAGGGGATCCAATGGACTGTGCCAATAAAAAAGACCCTGGAGTTGAAGCGAAATTCAGACTGAGAACATTAGGATTGGAAGCAACTTCCAATTCTCACCTAAGGTAGCAGTCTGGATGGGAGCGTCCCAGGTTCAGGGCTCTTCATTAAGAGTGGGACTGGCTCAACAATTCTGAAAAGCTGCGGGCTTTATCTAAAAGATTCTCCAGAACTCCCTTTCCCTGCTGTTAACTTCTTCCACGTAAGCACTCCTCCTCAGCTATTCACACTCTCAGGTGCTCCATGGCTCAGTCTTCACTCACTCTGACAACAGAGGAAGGGCAGGGTGTTAACTGCATTATTTAAGAGTTGTTGATGTGTGTGCCACTGAGTCAGCTCATTCACAGCAACCTCAAATGACAGAGTACAACTGGCCCATAGGGTTTCCCAGGCTGTGATCTGTATGGGAGCAGAGCGACGGGTCTTTTTCCTTTGGAGTGGCTGGTGAGTTCAAACTCTCAACCTTTGGGTTGGCAGCCGAGTCCTTAACCATTAATGGAGTCCAATTTCTAAGATTACACGAAGCCCTTGACTTTTCAAGGGCTAAGTCCCAGACTTCAGTCACCCCTGAGAATAGGGCTCTCACCTTGTCTTCGGTCATTCTTAGCAAAAGCCCACATTTTATGAAGGCCACAGCTTGCCAGTCACCTTAGAGGAGGCTGACGCACGGAGACCTCGAGTATGACAGAATGAAGCCCTGCCCGGTCCCACAGCGTCCTCACATCCCCGGTGTGTCTGTGCCCACGATGGAGGCTGCCTCGTCAATCTGTCCTGTGGAGGGTCTGGGTCGTTTTCACTGACCCACTGCTTTACCAAGCATGATGACCTTTTCCATGACTGATCTTTCCTGATATGCATCCATTTTCGCTTCTAAGGACCATTCTGGTTGCACTTCTTCTAAGACCGATTTGTTTGTTCTTCTGGTAGTCCATATTCAACATCCTTTGCCAACACCATGATTCAAACGGGTCAGTCCTCCTTGGGTCTTCCTGCTTCACTGCCCAGCTTTCCAAGTGTATGAAGCAACTGAAAACACCATGGCTTGGGTCAGGTGCACCTTAGTCATAAAAGCGGCAGCTCTGCTTTTTAACTTGTGACCAGCTTTTCCACCTTCCACTGAAGTTTTCTTCTTTCCATGACAGTCAAAGAAAGGCTGTTTGAAGATGCCCACTGTGCCAAGGGAGGGGACAGTTCCCAGGCTGGTTCCCTTAGCCAAGCACGTCCCTACCGTGCCTCAGCTTGGTGACCCTGGGTACCCATCCTAACTACTTGGGGCTGATAGGGAGCAGTGCAGACTGCTATTGTCACCTGGGGCCATTAAATCGCAGGGCTTGCTGAAATTGTTAACATGGAGAAGTGTTTATGACACAGTAAAGAGGGTAAAATGCATACTACACAAGTCCACGTCCATGATGACTTTCACTCTATGTGTTTGGACAAAGGCAGGAGGGGACTCCATTCAAAGTTTTATGTTTTGGGTGTTCCCACACAGTTTTCATAGCAGCAGAAATAATGGGAATGTAATATAACAAAGACATGTAAGGGAAAAAAAACAGGGCCATGCTGGCACCATTCCAAGTGCTTAAACCTTCCCCAAAGAGATCTTCGAAAAGCAAGACAATGCATGGATAATACACTTTCCCAAATGCAAAGTGCTGCAGACAGAGAGGTAAAACTGCCGAGAAGCACACTGGTCAAAGCCTAGGACAGAAGGTGCCTGGGCCATGGTCTGTAATCACCTGCCTGAGGGCATTTAGCCAGGGCTGGAACGCTCATCAAGCCTCCACAGCCAGACTCAAAGGCCTGTGGACAACAGCACGGTTTTAGGACAGGCGGACTCGACTCTGTTGTGAGGTGGCAAACGCTTGACAGCAGTTTCTTATGAGGCTCAGATCGTCTTCACGGAATGCTCCTGACTTTTTCAGAAGTGAGGAGACTCTGGGAAGGGAGCCAGAGTATCTCATTCTAAGCTGCCCGTTAATGTCTCATTTAAATAAACAACCAATAAAAAAAGGTGCTACGTTCAAACGTCTCATTGCCAAGAGGGACTTCAAAAAACAAATATATTATCAGGTCAGGAGCCTTGATGGAAGGACTCTATGTTGTCTGAGAAAACATAACTCAACCAGTGGATGGCAGAATGCAGGCGGCACGTTCTGCACACGGTTCCACTGGTGGCCCCGCTCTTCCCGAGGGTCCTCCTTGAAGCTTACCCACTTCCAGCTCAGCCCACTGCCGTTCGAGAGGAGGATGCAACGAACGGGGAGAATGGCAGCTGTGTTTACCGGACTCGGCTCCCAGAGGCAGATGGGAGGGCCTCTGACATGACTGCTTCTGAGCAGGGAGCAGACCGTCCGTCTGACCTCCTTGGTGCTGCTATAACACAAATACCACACGAGGGGGACCTGAGCAAACAGAAATTTCTCTCCTCTCCATCTTGGAAGCTAGAAGCCTGAATTCAGGTGCCGGTTCTGGGAGAAGGCTTCCGTCTCTGTCGGGTGTGGGGGAAGGTCCGTGTCTCAGCACCTCAAGCGGGCCATCCGTGGAGTTCCTGGGCTGTAGACTGGTCTGCTCTGGAGTCTTCAGATAGTGTCGGTCTTTCCCCAGGTCTGCTCTCTTCTGTGCCTGCTCTTCTCTCTTGTATCTCAAAGTGACCGGCTCAGGACACATATGACACGCATATGGCCTTGCTAACATAACAAAGAAAATGCTACTCCTACACTGGGTTATGTCCACAGGCACGGGGGTGAGGACTGACACCACATATTTTGTGGGGACAGAGTTCAGTCCATAACACTGATAATTACTCAGAGGGAAGGGCATGGCCAGAATTCAGCACAATGAAACCCAACTTTTAAACTGGAAGTCTGCTGAGGACAAGGCTTGTGTCTTTTCACCAGCAGGGGTTGACTTCTTTGTCAGTCACACATGTAAGCAGAGTACGTACCTCGGTGTCCGATACATATGTGTTTAATGAACAGTGTGGCTATAATGAGACTTCCCGTGATTATGGGCAACTAGAGGGTGTGGGTTACATCTCCCTCTCAGATCTGTCAGGTAACAGGTAACAGAATCTTCAAAGATCTTCATAACCTAGGCTCAACAAGAACCAGCAAGCTACCAGAATCTCTGTAGTCCGCTGCAGTGGAACTGCAGAGGGCTTTCCTTCTTTACCTTGTGGTCCGTACTGGCTCATCTGTGGACCGTACGCCCCACTGGAGTTGCTCTGCTGAAAGCTAGTGATGCCAGGGTGCACCTGGCCCCCAGGAGAAGGGTGCGGCGACATGGATGGTCCTGTCTGCTGAGGTCCATACTGGGCCATCTGAGGGTTTCTTTGTGAGCCTGCCATGTAGCCTATGTGGGAAAGAGACGGAAACATGTAAGTGCAGGTGCTTCAGAATCTCTGCGTGCACAAATCCGGACGTGGAACTGCTGGCAAGCAGCTGGGGAGAAAAGGTTGGGACTGTGAGGTTCTCCGAACTAAAGACACCTTAAAGACAGCTGGAACTCAGTGTGGAGGAGCTGCAAGGGCCCCACAGCCTACCAGGTCCTCACCGTGAACTCTCTCTTAGAGTTCTTGGGAACCCATGGATCATGGACTTGAACTAGGGAAAGGGAGCGCTGAAGGGAACAGCAAGTAACCTTAACTTCTCTGACGGATGAGACCCCTACAAAAAGCAACAGGAGGAGCTAAGAGCCCTTTATTGTGACCCCTTCATCTTTTCCAGGCTGGACAGGTGTGTATGCTACCTCAGAGCCACTGCTCACTTCCCAGCCTCCAGAATGCACGCCAGTGGGTCCTTAAAGATCCCACCCCTCTCTTGAACCCAGGGCGACCACCAGCTTTTCCCTCTAACAGCTGTCTTTCTTTCCTCCCATCTCCCACAGCAGTAACTGCTCAACCGGACTCTTAAGTCACAATGCAGACCCATGAAGACCTGATCCACACAACTGCTTACAGGTACACTTAAACCCAACTGGAGGGTTTGAAGTCAGGGTATTCTGACTTGTTCCCGCAAACTTTTTCCACCTGTGATCTCCCCCACCTCCATCAAGGGCACCAGTGCTCACCCGAATGCATGTGTCAGAACCTCTGACACTCATGTCTTCCCCCTCCTTCCTTCCCATGGTGCTGTCAGCCCGTCAGTACCACCTGCAGTCTCTACTTCTAGGTGGACAGCAAAAGCCACCGAGCAGCCAGCTAGCCTGTCCACACAGCTGTGATGCTGTCCCACCTGATCCCCCAGCTCCCTCTCTTGCTCCTTTGGGTTCATTTCCCCACAAAGCTGCTGGAATTCTCTTTCAGAAGAAAAACAGGAAATTAGACCACCTCGCTCTTCTGCAAAAACCCTTCAAGGCTTCCCATTGAACCCAGGTATAAAATGCGAGCATGTCACCATGGCCGATGACATCGCTGTGGACTGGCAGTTGCCGTTCTTATTTTTGCCCCCATTTCTACAACTTTCCTTCTGTCTGTCTTCCCACCCTGGATGTCCACTGGCCTTCAGATTGCTCCCAGATGATAATGTCAAGCTCTTTCCCTCAACAGAGCATGGCTTGCTCCTGTGTTCTCTTCCAACGCTTTTACCTGCTCCTTCCAGAGCTGGTGCCTCATCCCTAGCTTAGCCTCTCTGACCACCCAACCTTAAGCGGCACCAACCCCCACGGAACCCCTTCCACTGCTCACTTACCGTCTGTCAGAGAACTTCTCATGACCTGTTATCACTGTCTCATTTCTGACTCACTAAGCATCTCTTCCCCATTAAAATACAAGCTGCATGAGGGCAAGGGCCATGCGTGTGTTCACTGTTATATTGCGAGAACCGAGCAGCGTTTGGCACTCGGGGTGGGGTGGGGTGGAACGGTGGAGGAAGAACTATTTCTTGAATGAGCCAATGTTAAATTTCTCCCATATCCAACAGGGTGCTGACTACACTGTCAGTGTTTTGTGGGTAGTTTTTCCAAATAGATAAAATCTCTTCACATTGTGGAATTATGATGTCATGGGGCAGCCACATCTCCGCAGTTCAGACAAGTACAAATGAGTATGGAGAAATGGCCGTGAACGCTCAGTGCACAGAGTCTACCCCAACTCAGGGTGGAGAGCGGAGAAAAGCTCACACTACCAAACTCAACCTGGGCAGTTCAGAAAGGACTCTTCAAAGTCACGAGTTGTGCTGGCTCTAGAGAGGCCGCATGTCCTCTAGTGAAGGCTCCACCTATCCCAGAGGGAGCAGGGGGCTGGCAGATCCCTCTTCCCAGGAGAACCCGGGCAGTGGCTCTACAGCCAGAGGTGCAGAGAAGGCCTAGCTCTGCAGAGGTTAACGGTGTAAGGGCTTTGCAGAAAGCACTGCTTATATTTCAGTAAGGAAAAGAAAGAGGATCTTGTAACACAGCAATCTGTTAAAAGCAATCTACACACAACGAGAGGAAGTGGAGCTCTTCCTTATCGTGCTGCTTAATTAGTTTATAAAGGTCTGCCTATGAGATCGGGCGGAACTGGCAGTTCCCACACACAAATCAGTACAGAAAATGGCGGCTTTTCCAAATCTGAAAACAAACAGAAATCACAGCACTAAAGAGACTACAAATGATTGCATCTTAAGATGTTACATGAAATATTTATCTAGGCATTACTATACAACTCTCAAGAGTCCTGTTTAATAAAAAGTGTGCTTCAATTCTGTACAGATTCTTTTTTTTGGAGGAGAACGACTGCTTTCCACTTCAACAGTTAAGACAAATAATAGCAGTCCTTCAATTAGCATCACGTTTCACTTCATCCACGGAGGCACCCCTGCTGAAGGCTCGCAAAGCTCCAGATACAGTCCACACTCAAGCTTCTGGGCTCTTACTACAGGTTCAACGTTTGCTCACGTGAGTTCTAAGAAACATGACATGGGCAAGTTATTTCTTTATTTCTGAATATTTATTCAGTCCTTAAAAATACACATGTCATGTGGAACAAAATTCAAAAACACCAAAATGACCAGAATTACTGGTCAGATAAGAGGCTGGTGGACCTCTGAGACCATGGCCCCGGGTTATCCTTCTGGCCCCGGAACTGGACTCACTTCCGAGGATTACCTCTCAGCCAGACGGTAGAAAGACCTACAAGCACAACTCCTACCCGGGAGAGATGCACCCCTAGATCAACAGCCAGGCGAGATCAGAAGGCAGCATCTGTGTAGAGGGGAAGCTGTACGGTCAGGACTGCACAGATAAGAAGGGCAGGGGAGGGTCGCAGGGAGGACAGCTTTTCCTGCCTGAGACTGTAATCAGGCCACGAAACCAAATGTGCACGAACTGTTGAGAGGAAAACAAATCGGCTTTGTAAATCTGTACCCAAATCACAATACAAAATTAAAATAATAGTTTTACAGTGACAGATACACACACACACACACACACACACACACAAGGAGCTCTGGTGGCATAGTGCCTAAGGTATTTGACTGAGAACTAGAAGGTGGGCGGTTCAAACCCACCAGCCACTCCTTGGAAAGAAGGTAAGCAACCTACTTCTATAGAAATACTGCCTTGGAAACCCAAGGAGGGGTCACTATGAGTCAAATCAAGTCAATGGCTGTGAGTTAATACACACACAGACACACACACACACGGGAGCTCTGGTGGCGCAGTGCCTAAGGCATTTGACTGCTAACCAGAAGACTGGTGGTTCAAACCCACTAGTCACTCTGGAAAGGAAGGTGGGGCAACCTACTTCCATAGAGATACTGCCTTGGAAACCCAAGGAGGGGTCGCCGAGTCAGGTCCGACTCCACCGCGGTGATATACACACACATATATCATGTTCCATTTCAACCATCTCAACTGTCACCAGTGTTCTGTAGAAAACCAAGTCTGTGGAAAGACTTCCAAAGGAGGCGGAACATGAACAACGTTAATCTGAACAAAACGTATCACAGCATCTGATTCCACAACTCGGGGGCCCAGGTGTGAGGGGGTGGGGGACCCCCAGAGAGATGGACACTGGAAAGCTGTTCTCCTCCGTGTGCGTCACTCACGGGAGCTTGTGTTCACGCTCCGTACTTGCTGTGAAGCACACCCCTTTCCATGCACCTGCCCCCAAGGCAATGAGAGAGGAGGCAACACAGGTTCCCCGACTCCTGAGCTATTCTCATCAACAGCAGCAGCCTGGGACCAGAAGACCTACATTACAGTCTCGTTTATGGCACTGGCCAGAATCCAGCACAGGAGACAGACCCGTAAATAAACATTATAGCATGTACTGAATGAACTATCTGGGTGACCTCAGGCAAACTGTATCATCTGTCGGAATCTGTCTCCTCATCTGGAGAGGAGGATGAGGTTACTGTGAGGATCAGCTAACACGTGAACGTGTTCTAGAACCTATAATGTGACAGAAAGAAAAGAGACTGTCATGATAATTATTTATAAATGCCACGGACATGTTTTTAACCCCTTAACACCCCACATTTTCAGATGCAGTTTCCAGCTAGACTAAACAAGCTAGTTTTATTTCACCATTTGCTTTTTTTATTTAAATCTGTGGCTTCCATGTGACGCCAGTATTTGTTCACTGTGCAAATTCCACAAGGTTACAAAGAATACACCCTTTCCTCCACTAACTCCCCCCACCCAGTGACCCTCCTTAAAGGGAAATAATTTCTTGAATGTATCCTTATAGAGACTGTTGATAATTTGTGAACATACACACACACGCACACACACACACACAGAGTAATCTCAGCTAACACCACTTATGGTGTACTGGTAAAAATAAAACAATAATAAAATAATAAATAATAATTAAAAAAAAGAAGAAAAAACCCAACTCCCTCTCCTTGAACAATCTGGAGGCTTATCACTAGGCCCCGTGTTACTCTTCCTTCAATGGCCGTAGTCGCCACTGTATGGACGAATCATCCTGTACCAGTGGAGACGGGCACTGAGACTGTCCAAGCTAGGGTGGAGAACATGCCTGTAAAGACAGCATGTCCCGTTGTGAAGCCAGACTTTCAGGATAAACCGTTAGAAGTGGAACTGCGTTAAACAAAGGTTACAAAGGTCACGTGCTTTCAGTCTTGCTAGATGTTGCCATTTCTATCAAATAGAGGCTGCACCCATTGGCACTCCCTTCAGCAATGGAGGGCGAGGCCCTGCTTGGCTGTGCCTGGGCCAACTTCATCTGTTACCAATTTTTTTAATTGTTGGCGACGGTCTAAGGGGAAAAACGAGACCCCATCAAGTTTTGGTCTGTACTTCTGTAAGCATGAGTAACGCCGGACACACGCTCCTTCGCCAGGCGTCTGCTTATGTCCTCGGCCAGGCCGGCCCATCTTCTGTGAAGTACTTCATTCTGCAGATGC